ATCTATTATATCTTGTATAACCACTTGAGTGTAACAAATCACCTCTTAATTTTCTATTTATAAACTAATTTAAGACTAGCTACTATTAGTTATGGAGGGGGAAAGAGGAGGCCCAATAGGTCTATTATTCTAAAATATCTTTGGTGAGATTTGAACTCTAAACCTGCTGCTTGGGGTGAAAACTTAACCACTACTCTAAGTTGCCACAACTTTATTGTCTATTGTTTAATTGTACTTTCTTGTAAATAATTTTTTGCTTTTTTAAGTATATCTTGAATTTGACTATATAAAATTATTTTATATGCTGTAATTTTGTTTGGGTCTTGTACTATAAGGTCCTTAGAAAGTTTATCTATTTCATCTGGTTCAAATAGAATAGATGTACAGAAAATATCTACTATATTGGTGGATTTTTAGAATTTACTATTAAAAATTCTAATAATATTTAACTGTGAATAAATTTTGATTCGCTAGTCCATTTTCAATGAAACAATTAACAAAATGTTTGTCTCATCGAGATGAACATTTTGTTAATTGTTTTATAAAAAATGGACTAGTGGATCAAAATTTATTCATAGTTAAATATTATTAGAATTTTAAATAGTAAATTTCAAAAATTTGCTGATATGCTAACTTACTACTATTTAAGTATCAAAGTACTGTTTTAGATACCCTATATACCAGTTTAAGGAGACTATATATTTTAATAATTTTTTGTTAGATTCTATCAGTTTCTAGAACCTTTTATAAATTTATATATATATTGTTTATTTTAAACATATGAGGTTTTCCTTTTGTTTATTTTGATTAGTCTGTCATACTGTCATATATTCTCAAAATAGCACATGTTTGTTTGTTTGTTTATTGTATTGTCAACTCCCTAGTTACATGTTCTTCTTATTAGAATTTTAGGTGATATAAGCAATTGTTTACTTTTTCAAAAAACTTTTAATAAAATGGGTTTTGGGCCCCATAGCTTGATGATCAAGTTTCAAAACTCTCACAGATGAGGTCAATAGTTCGAGTTGAGCTAGAGACAATGCTTCTGTAACCTAATATGGGAGTCATAATCAATCACAAAGCTCTGTGAAAAGTTCAAATGCAAATATAGACTGATATAGGAATTTTTGGAAGGAGATCTAATTGCAGAGTGAAGGCATTACATGTGATAGCAGTATCACAGAAAATTCTATTACACAAAAGATCACGCACATAAGTTCTAGAAGACGAGGCTGTACTAACATTCCTGCATCTAACTCGTAGAGTACTTGCTTGAAAGAGTAACCAGTAAGTAATATGAATTGGAGCAATAAGAAAAATATTAGCCTAACCAGAATTAGAAGCATCTCTGGCACAATGTTTATGGTTAGAAGTAAGTACTCCTTGTTGTAGAGAGGTGGCTGAAATATAGAGAATGTGTAATAATCTGAAATGGCCAGAAGCACCGGGCTGATAGTATAGCAACATACACACAGAGTAGCAAGAGCATACCAACATTAAATACCAACCAATTCAGATGAAAGTTGGAAGTAGTACCTTGATATTACAAACCTAGTTGGAAGTAATACTGTTACGCAACATAGCCTTACTTTACCAACACACAGAAGTTCTTATTAAAAATATTACTAGCATAGTACAAGACCACAATTGAACATTAAAATTATATATACCCAGTTCTGAAAGTTGAGAGTTGTAAGCCCAGAGGAGCTTTAGAGCTACCTGGGAGGTACACAGACAAACAGTAATTGTTACTATATTAGGGAGTGAACTGTGAGGATCACAAGGCCGCTAGTTACCATGCTAGTATCTGTATAGAAGTATCTTTGTTTAGAAATGTAAGAGATATGATGTATACAATAAAAAGGTGATATGATATTCTAGCTTTAGCATTAAAAACTCTAGTATTACTAATAGTGGAATTAGCCATACTGGGTAGGTAATGTATCTGAGGATAAATTAGTTCTAAGCTGGGGTGTTAGTTATATATGTATAGTTACGTTGTAAATGCATAGTTATATTATAATTATACATATATATAATAAAGACTTTTAGCAAAAGATGCCACCTTAAACTTAAAAAAAAAAAAAACTTATGATAAAATTTTTATAAAGTTTTTAGAGCAGTGTAGTATGATAGTTCTTTGGTATAAAGTTTTAGCATTGGTTTCATATTACTTTTTCAAGGGCTTGAGATTTCAGTTTGTATATAACAATTTTTCTGATTCAATTTTTACATTCTATATAAAAATTCATTATGTAGGTCTTCAGATCTTTAAGGATACCTGGTTATGTTTCTTTTTTGTAAGCATAGTTGATATTAAAAAAAAGTTTTTTTTCTATATACTATATTACTAATAAAAAAAAATAAAAATAAATAATCTCAAAACTAAAAAAATAAAAACTAAAATCAAACAACAACTCTATTTCAGTCAGAGATTTTATCAAATATGGACAGTGTAGATTGCACCTTATATGGTAAAGAAATGTTGATCACATGATTCTAGATCATTTAATTATATGAAAATCATGTATAATTAACCAATCAAATTTAACCACAACAAAATTTACTTATTAACAAACGAAGTTAGTTATTATTTACCTTTTTTATAATGGCTTATTGCGAGAGATCTAATGGGATCTTTTAAAGTAGATGTCTTATATTAGCTAATTGTATATTGTTTAATATCGAATAAAAAATAAAATATCAAATGATCCCACAGTGATAAAAAATGTTATACAGCCAATCAAATTCATAAAGATCATTTTAGAATGTGATTTCCTAATTTAGTAAAATCTCTGACTGTATTTACAGCAACCACAGCAGGGTGCAGTACAAAATTTCCAGGTATTACGTGAATGATCATTATTTGTATAACATTCGTATTTTCAAAAATACACTTCGATACAGCAAAGTAGCAAGTTAGGCATATTACTGCAAATTACGGCAATCATTGGGACGATTCTTCTGCATTACTAATATATCAGCTTTTAAACAATCTATTTATTGGCAACATTTATGTTGTTGAACAATTGGCATGGAATTGTGCAGATGTTAAGAACATTTAGTATATTCGCTAAAATAATTTAATTTTTTAATCTGAATAACTACTCAAAGCATTATAATGATATGCACTGTTTTTAAATAAATATTAATGCTACATAATAAATATATGCAAAATATTACTCTAGGTCTGTTTGTGTTTATTGTTAAACTTGAAATCTGCTGAAAATTTTGAATTTTAATGATTTTAGTTTTAAAGAATAATGACTAATTTAAATTATTAATAAATTCGAACTATATTACTTAAAAATTAACAATGGTAAACATAATGTAGTTAGTTATACTAAAATATATATTTAACATTTCTTAGTGACAAATTAAAGCTTTTAAAAAATTTGTACTATATTTATGCGTGAATTTTCTCTTTATAAATTAGTATCACAGAAATATTAAAAAGTAAAAATCATTAAAAAAAATAACTTTATATTGAGAATTTGTTAACATTTAATTATTCTATCATTTGTTGTTGCAAGATTATCTAGCTAAATTAATCTAGAGTTTTGATTTTTACTAATTTAGAGCTATTTTTAATATTCAATCTTGAATCTTTGTATAACACATTTGATTGTAATATAATTTATATTTCAAGAAAAGAAATTGACATTTATTGCAAAAATAGCGTTTAGAGTTTTTGTTTATTCAAAGTTTTACTGCATTGCCTCTTACGTTGAGATGATTTTATATCATTGACAATAGTAAATGTACGCTTTGTGTTATCAACAACATTTTTTATATGCCACAAGTTGTTTGCTAATAATTCCTCATTTAAATGTTTCACAAGACATTCCAATGTATCTATTTTTGACTTACATTCTTGGCAAAGTTCAGGATCCAAATTCTCATCATTCTCATTAGTAATGATCAAATCACCCTCATTAGTAACAATCAAATTATTCTTATTAGCAGTGAACTGATCATTTTTAATATTTGCTTGTGTTGACGATTTAGTGCTAAGAGGCTGGTTTGTGATTTATTGCTATTCTATATTAAAAAAGGATAATTTGTATTCTATTTAAAATTAGAATATAATAGTCGAATGCCTTCAGGATTATACATTTTTTCTTGTTTAATTGCATGGCAAACTAAATGTTTGCAAATAAGGAATCTACTATTAAGAAATGATGTGTAACTGCATATCCAACATGTCAGATCAATTATATAATGTTTTTCAGCATCTATAGTAATTTGTTTAGATGCAAGTATTTTCTACTCTTTCTTGAAATCACTAAACCATGATGGATTTATTTGTCCAAAATCCATTTGTTGAAAGTGAATAATTTGATCAGGCAGTACATGGAAACAAATGATCTATACAAGATAGTTCAGCCTCAGCCAATTATAATGATATAGATAACAATGTTTAAGCACCTTCTAGTGTGTCTCAATCATCATGTTTGTTTTTCCCAAAGGGATCGTTGCTCTCACTGAATGAGACCAGAGACTCCATCATTCCATTTTATACCATGAGGACCAAAGATATGATCATAATAACACAAGACCATTAGTAAAACAAAATTCATACATCTCACGTATTGCATTTGTACAAATTTCAGCAAGTGTTAAAAACTGTCTATCGGCATTAACTAGAATTTAGGATGTCTATTAAAATGTAATTTAATAAGGTTAAGAACCTTTTGTTGAAGATTTTGTGAACAAATTTCATTTTCTAGTTCTTTTAAATTTGGTTTAAAATTTAAATCTATAAAACCAAATTCTGCAGCAGCATCTTCAGGTTGATACTAAACATGTTGTACTCCTTTACGACATTTGAGTTTTTGGCTAATTGCCTTCTTCACATGCCACTGGCAGAGCTGTATATCTGTATTAGACCAGGTTTGTCTTGCAGCATTTATTTATGAAAAATCCTTATTGGTATAAAAATAGTCAGGATATAAGCCCTTATCACGAATTGAATTAAGAAACCCATTTAGTGCATATGTTCATCTTTTCTCTTGTGATTCACTATCAGAAACTTTATTAGTATCTAAAATTAAGTAGGCCAGTGGATACACTGCATCTTTAAAACTACAAATAAGGCCATGCAATTTGAATCGTCTTTTTGCAGTTTTGTAAGTAGCATCACAGTGAATTTTAGACATTGGTTGAATTTTACTATACAAGGATGTAATAAACCCAATTGCAGTTATTTGACTAGTCATTAACTCATAGCAAAGCTCGCAACCAGCAGTTTGGTCTGATTTAAGTAATAAATATGCTGAATTAACATGATCATTATCAGTCTTATAAAAATTCTAAGTAAATGATGACCACCAGTATCTAATTTGCTGCATTGTAATTTTTGAAATATCAAACTTATTATTAAGATGTGTTCTAAGTTGCACAGGATCTAAATGAATATTTTCCTTAATTTCTTGTTTGTTTTCCATGGGTGTTGAATTGTCGATTAATCTTTTGTGGAGAATTTCGTGTTTAAGTTTAACTATTACTTTAGCGGCAGAAATATCAACATGTATAATCATAGTTTCATGGCAATTAAATCGAGTTATCCTTGGACAATTTGATTTTTTGTATTCACGTGCTAATTTATTTGACTAAGAGCAGCTGAAATAAAAAGTATCGACATTTTCATATCGAGTTGAAATATGAGGTGCCATTTTAACTTTTTAAATTTTAAAATATTAATTTTGAATTTTTAAAAAAGCTAATTACTATTTTTCTTAATACTTAAACCCATATATAACCATCACTTTCCTCAATACTATTGACAATTACACTTGCAATTGATTTCAGATTGAGATTTTGATCAGTCATATTAACATCGACTTGGATTGTAAAAGATAACTTGGCATTATTTTCAAGATTGTATATCATTTCTACAATGTATTCATTTAGATCTTGTAATAGAATTATTTCAATATTTTCAATATATTCAGACACAATTTTTTTATTAGCTCTTTTTTTAGCTTTTTTAATTAAACAACTTGCATATATTTTATTCTTTTTTCTATTAAGCATAAAAGCTTCAGAAAGAAGTTGGCGATCACATGAGGTGCATTTTTGCATTGTTAAAAAACACAAGGTAAGGTATGTTTGTGAGTTTATTTTTTCTATTGCTATGAGTATATCACTTACAGTAAAAATAAAATACAAGAAAGAAAGTTCTGATCATTTTTTTTTCTTATATATCATTAATTTAATGAATTGTTGTGAAGTTTAAAAGATCATGCAGTCGTAAGATACAGTATATTTTATGAAAATATATTTATTTAATAAAATATTCAAATAGAATGGTTCAAACGTAATATTTTTAATAAAATTTCAAATTAAAAGTTCAGTTAAATTTTAAATAGAACATATCAGTTTGTACAAAAAATTCTTTTATTCTAAAATATCCACTTATATTCAATCGATTTATAACAGATTTAAAAAAAAAACTTTATTATTGTTCTCCATATTTTGGGATATAGAAATATAGTATTGGGAAATAACTTTAATTTTATAACCAGTTTTATAACACATTAAGGACGAATAAAATTGATCAAATTTTCAAATAATAATATTTAAGGAATTACTTATTATTATAATTCTAAGAAAATTGGGGTTTTATTATTAATTATCATAATTATTGTTTGATCTTCTTTAAAAGTGTTATAAAAAAATAGTCATGCATGCTTCTAATGCATATATGTATATTGTAGTACGTATGTACATATATTGTAGTATCCTGATATTGTAGTATCATGAATGTCTTTTTATTTTTGGTTTATATGATACCATTAGCATTAATGTTAGGGATCTTCAAAGTATATACTGTAATATGTTATGACCAGGGGAGAGACTTTGTATCGATACAGCCAATTTAGCTTAGGGCTATAAGCATTAAAAGAATTAAACCAAATATTTATTATTACATACAAGGCACCAAGAATACTAATATTATCAGTGATACAAATAAGTATCTTTTTACCAAGTGTACCCAGTACAAAATATCCTCTAAAATATCACTTGTTTCTGCTCACAAAACTAAACTAACTATACTTAAGAACTGAAAACTGAAAACTAAAGATATAGACTATCTACATAATTATGGTATATCAATATAAAAGTTTAATTAAGGTGACATTATTTTTCGTCACATAATACAATGCATTTCCAGGATACGAATATTACACAATGCATTTCTGGGATATAAATGTTACACAAATGATGATCATTCACATGACACCTGGAAATTTTGTACTGCACCCTGCTGTTGTTATTTACAGCTATGTCTAAAGTGAAGAGAATCAACAAAACTATCCTTGTTATATACTTCTTAACTCTGCATACAACTGTCATATGCATCCATATATAATTCAAAAAGATAAGAAAAGGTTTTTTTATTTTTTTTATTTTTATTATACAAATCAGATTAAAGTTTAATCCATTTTATAAGTTTTTCTAAGTAAAAAATAAGGATGCAAAGATTACATTTTGTCAGTTTTATAAGGCCATATCCAGGTTTGTTATTTTTCTTTTGAATACTTTATTATCTTTTAGCATTTTATAATCTTCTTTCTTTGATCTTTCCTTTTTGTGCTTAATCATCTATTTGAAATCATCAATATCCTTACTGCAGATTTTCTTAAGAATGTTTCTATCATTATAACAACTGCCAAAATTGAATTGTCTGTTTATAATATTATTATCAGCAGAATGTTGATGCAAAATGTATACTTTATATTTTTCAAGACCAAATTCATTTTAATAACAAGGTACAAAGATAAGTTTTATATTAACAAATAGAGCAGATTCTTTAAAATTAGTTAGATATAGTTTCTTTATCATTTTCTGGTTACCTTTAATTCTCTGAAGCTTACTAACCTTTATATACTAGGATTCATAGGTTTTGTCAAGACCTTTAGCAGGTTTTGAGTCCTATTTAAACCATTTTTCCTTTCTTTAAGGCACCTATACAACTACTTATATCTCTTGTTCATCTTTAGCTGACTCTATTTTGGTAGTTTTTCTTCTGTGTATATTGTTATTTAATAGTTATTAACTTATTTATTCATTTTTTACATACATGTTGCAGAGCTTCTTTTTCCAGAACTTCTTTTTCTAAGGTTCTTTTAAATCTTCTAAATAGTTTTTTTTCAACTTCAATTCTATTTTTATAACAAATTCCAAGGTTATACTGTCATTCTATTTTGGTAGCAGGTGTTAAGATTAGTTTCTTTATCAGGTTGTTGGGCAGCAGCAGATTCTTAAGGCAACTGAATGCCTTATGTTTGTCCAGTTTAACTTCAATTTTATTGATCGGTAGGTCAGCTTTATCAATTCTATTTTGATAGCAATAACCAAGGTTGCTTTTTCCATTGGTATGTTACATTTCTGCTAGTTTTTGATAAAAAGTAAACTTCTTAAGTTTATTCTTTTTAACTCTAGTTCTTTCATTCTTTTCAATGGATACGTATCATTTCATAGAAAATTATTTTATAGACACCTCAGTTTAAAAACAATCAATTCATAGACAAGTTTATTTTA